TGTCGCAGATGAGGGGACAGACGCATCTAACTGCTATGGAGGAAGTCCGGAATCCAGATGGGCACTAAATAAGCTCTGTGGACACACACCGACCCGGCAGAACAGACAAACAGAGAGACAACAGAAAGAGACAAACAGAGAGACACAGAGCGAGAGGGAGAGAAAAGAAAGGGAAAGAATTACTAACGCACACATATTTGCATAGGGTCTTAGCATAGTCATCGTCTAAAGCTGATGAGAATGTATTTTGGCACTCCTCAGCAGACGAGAACAGACAGTGATGTTGACACAGGTAGGCTTATTCATCTCTTTATTCTGTCCTTCAAGGTTATCTAAATATAGCAGTCGGTTCATTTCGCATGCATTTCCTCACTTCCGAATCGCTCCTCAAGCTTGTCTTCAAAAATTTATGTTTGCTCTAGTGAATTTGATTACACCAGGGAAAAAGAGACAAGGGGAAAAGCGGGGGTTGAGTTTGAGAATTAAAGAGTGAGAGGGAGCAAGAATAGTGCACTTCTATTTCCATCTCAGGCATATGCTCAAATCTAATACGGTTGATGGGTTTGTTTCCGCTAAGAAGAATGCGAGGGAGCAAGCTCCAATAAATAGTCAGGGAATAGTCACCCAATCACAGATATATATATATATATATATATCCCTATGGGCCTGTATTCAGAATAGGAGTGCTGATTTAGGATCTGGTCCTCCCTATCCATATTATCTCATTCATTATCATCTAAAAGGGAAAACTGATCCTAGATTGTCACTCCTATTCTGAGACACTTTATGAATATAGGTCCTGATCTAAGTCCTGCCAGTCATTTGAGCTGGGCCAGACTGCAGGCTGCAGTGAGTCAGGTGGCTGCAGACAGAGTCAGGCGGCTCTACCTCTCCACTCCCTCTTCCTCCAGACTAATGGGCCTCTAAAACAAGCCTACAGCTCCTGGGTCACTGCAGCCAAAAGGTAGTAAAAGCCCTTCCTCATATAGTGACATGAAAACAGTGGCATCCTTGAGGGCCTTTAACAACACATTTTACACACAGAAACAGGATGCAGTATGCACAGACACACACAGACACACACACACAGACACACAGGACGCTGGAGAGGGGAGGATGGCTCATAATAATGACAGGAATGAATGGAATGGTATCAAAATCAAGGAAACCATGTCGATACCATTCCATTTACTCCTTTCCATCCATTAATATGAGCATGTCCTCCCAAATGTAGGTGTCACCAGCCACCCGTGACACACACACACATTTCACCCCCCCCCCCCCCCCCCCCCCCCCCCCCCCCCCCCCCCCCCCCCCCCCCACACGCACACACAACACACAACACACATACAGCTCCAAATATTCACCAGAATGCTGAACTCAAACTATGTCACTTAGTCCAATGAACTGGGAGGTGAGGATAATGAGAAAATAACAAGGGTGCAAGCACCCAGTGCAGAGCTCTAACAGAGCATAACAACACAGAGCGCTGTGGCTTAGCCAGCAGAGAGAATTGATTACAGCAATTTATAACACGCAACCAAAGGCCACTGTGGTAAATAAAAGCAAGCAAAAGGTGGGAGGAGAAGGAGGAAAGAAAAGTGCACTGGAGGAAATAAGTCGAACAACAAGAGAGACAGAAAACGGAGGAATGGAATTATATCAAAGCCGTTTAATAATACAGTAGGGATTCATATTTTCCCGAAAATTTACCAAGTTTCAATACCGGGAATAATTAATATTTATCCCGAGAGTCCCGGGAAATACAGCATAATTCGGAAGTGCCCAAATAGGAAGTGCCCACTTAAAAAGTTCAAAGCTGCCCCACCTTGTCTTCTTGCATGCACCATTACGTAAAGATTTCAGAGCAAATGAAACTGATATTTAGTAATGATAGAGTAACTATCTTTGATCGCCAATGACAATGTTGTGAATTGTGAAACAGGCCGTTCAGAAATTCCGAGCGCTATCATGTTCCTCAATTAATTCAGCGCATTTCAGCAATAGGCTATCTCGACACAGAGCGCGCTCAGGACGCACAGAGCGCACCCCGAGTATAGCGTTGTGGAATCATACAAACTTTGTAACGGCAGTCAAACAAAAGTAAAAAATGACCAAAGTTGCTAAGCTTGCTAGATAACGAATGACAATGAATGACAGAATACCTCCTATATTTGGCAAAATCGAGTTGATGATTATACAGATAGCAGATCAGCTGATGAATAACGGGAAGAGAGATGAAGAGTGGAAATAGTTTCAATATCAAGGTATCTTAACGGGGACCAACTCTGTTTAAAAATGTCACAATGACAGCTCAAAGAAGCACACAATCTTTTATAGGCAATACTGTAAGGGTTTCCTGTAGGGTTTATTAACTGCATTCGGGTCATGTGTGCAGGCCGGCAGTGCCAATTATGCGTGTGCTTTGAATTAATGGCGACTTTGTGTGAAGTAAATACACTGGGCTAAAGGCTTCCATGCGACAACCTGTTTTGATAATGTGCTATTTTATTTTGCTAATCTGATGCTGCTCGTGTTGTGTATTTTGTGGAATTGCATTAGTGCAACATTGGGGTAAAATGTTGTCATTTCCCAGGTCTTGTCATTAAATTTTTCCGGGAAATGTGAAGAGTGTTCCTGGGACAGTCCCCGGATCCCAGTTACCCATGTGAATCCCTAGTGTACAGTACATACATTATGCATGAACTGCGTCCCAAATGGCACCCTATACCCTACATAGTGTACTTCTTTTGATCAGGGTTCTGTCAAGGTTGAGTGTAGATGTGGTGTGGAATCAAGCGCAGGACACACAGAGGCTTCGTACTAACGTCTTTTGTGAAGACAAAAAAGAATAAGCCAAACACGGCTAAATACAACCTGGCAGGCAAGCGAACTTTACGCACACCGGTAAAGTACAGACTAAAGGCACACACTGTGTGGAACTCTCTACAAAAACAACACAGAGAGAATAAACGAACTAGCATCCCAAAATGACACGAACAAAAACAACAAACGATAACGTGACGTCCAAAGGTGCAAAACACAAACCTATACAGGAACAAGATCCCACAAACACTGTGGGAAAACTGGCTGCTTAAGTATGGTTCCCAATCAGAGACAACAAGCAACAGCTGATACTCGTTGCCTCTGATTGAGAACCACACTAGCCAACATAGAAACACAATACTAGAATGAACACAAATGAAAACTCACACCCTGGCTCAACATACTAGAGTCCCCCGAGCCAGGGCGTGACAGTACCCCCCCCCCCCCCCCCCCAAAGGCGCGGACTCCGGCCGCGCCAACCAAACACCACAGGGGAGGGACCGGGTGGGCACTCCGCCTTGGCGGCGGATCCGGCTCCGGGCCTGATCCCCACTCCCTCTCCAACCCCCCAAAGTACCCCTGGTCCGGTCTGGCCCCGCTGGCCGGAGCTGGACTGCACACTGGTGGAGCGGATTACTCCAGCTACAGCGTGAAGCAGCTGACCGGTGCCGGACCAGGCACCGGTGGAACAGGCACGGGCCGTGCCGGACTGACGATGCACACCACTGGCTTGGTGTGGGGAGCAGGAACGGGCCGGACCGGGCTGGCGACGCACACCACTGGCTTGGTGTGGGGAGCTGGAACGGGCCGGACCGGGCTGGCGACGCACACCATAAGCTTGGTGCGGGGAGCAGGAACAGGCCGGGCCGGGCTGGCGACGCACACCTTTGGCTTGGCGCGGGGAGCAGGAACAGGCCGGGCCGGGCCGGCGACGCGCACCATAGGCTTGGTGCGGGGAGCAGGAACAGGCCGGACCGGGCTGGCGACGCGCACCATTGGCTTGGTGCGGGGAGCAGGAGCGGGCCGGACCGGGCTGGCGACGCGCACCATTGGCCTGGTGCGGGGAGAAGGAACAGGCCGGGCCGGGCTGGCGACGCGCACCATAGGCTTGGTGCGGAGAGCAGGAATGGACCGGACTGGGCTGGCGACGCGCACCACAGGCCCGGTGCAAGGGACAGGAACAGACCGGACCGTACTGGGGACACACACCACTGGCCCTACGCAGGGATCAGGAACGGGCCGGACCGGACTGGTAACACACCCCAGTACCTCTCGCCGTGCCTCTACACTTTCCTTCCCATTTAATACCAGTGGCCCCCGTAACCTGGCGGCCTCCTCTGCCAACCCGCTGGACCGCTCTATCGTGGCCTCCTGCTGCTCCGTCGTCCACGGCGTGAGCCCCCCCCCTAAAACATTTCTGGGTGTCTCTCCTCCCCGTGGACCAGGCCTCCCTATCTCTCGCCAGACTCTTCCTCCACTGCTCCAAAGTCCAACCTCTCTGCTCTTCATTTGGCTTGACCCAGTCGAGACTCTTCCTCCACTGCTCCCAAGTCCACCCTCTCTGCTCTTCACTAGGCTTGACCCAGTCGAGGTTGCCACGGAGATCCGCTAGCGATTCCCCTGGCGATGGCTCCTGGACACGCTGCTTGGTCCAGTTTTGGTGGGATCCTCTGTCACGATTGAGTGTAGATGTGGTGTGGAATCAAGCGCAGGACACACAGAGGCTTCGTACTAACGTCTTTAGTGAAGACAAAAAAGAACAAGCCAAACACGGCTAAATACAACCTGGCAGGCAAGCGAACTTTACGCACACCGGTAAAGTACAAACTAAAGGCACACACTGTGTGGAACTCTCTACAAAAACAACACAGAGAGAATAAACGAACTAGCATCCCAAAATGACACGAACAAAAACAACAAACGATAACGTGACGTCCAAAGGTGCAAAACACAAACCTATACAGGAACAAGATCCCACAAACACTGTGGGAAAACTGGCTGCTTAAGTATGGTTCCCAATCAGAGACAACAAGCAACAGCTGATACTCGTTGCCTCTGATTGAGAACCACACTAGCCAACATAGAAACACAATAATAGAATGAACACAAATGAAAACTCACACCCTGGCTCAACATTCTAGAGTCCCCCGAGCCAGGGCGTGACAGGTTCATAT